CATGTTTGTGAGACTTAAACATTAGGCACGGGAAGCGGCATGAGGGGGCGCTTTTTTTGGTAGCATTTCTTAGTCACTAAGCAAATATAGAGAAACGCTGACACGGCCTTTTCAAGGTTTGACTTCATTCCCAGCTGTTGCCAAAAGGCTGGGTTATTCCCACCGGTGTTTTGGCCACGGCGGAGGCTCGTTCTTGGCCCAAACAAGGAAAGAAGATTCTTTCGGGCTTCTATTTACAGAGGCTCGCCTCCGTTCCCCGGCGGACAGAAATGTGGGCTTCCAAAACCAAGAAAGAGAAGGGTCGGTGTAAAATTCAGGGGAGAGGGTCTCTTCCTCCCCCCCTCGTTCTCTAAATTCCTCCATAAAAGCCAGCTCGTCCAAAGACGTCGCCTATGGCTTGGCGCCTCATGAGAAAACTCCCTTCGAAGATCTGTATGTGTGTATATATCCTCAAGGCCAGCTCAGAAGATTTTGAGGCCTGCAGTGAAAGACAAGATGGCGCCTTCAACTCTCTCCCACAAACCGCCCACGGCCATTCCACCTATTAAAACCAACCCAATCGCCTGCTAAATCCAGAAACGTTGGATTTTGGAAGTATGATTCCCAAACTCGAGCAATCATGTTGGCTGAGATATTATGTGAGCCCTTGACAAATGTAAATAGTTTCCATCTCTGGCTAAATCTGACTTCAACAATGGCGCCAGCAACAAAGTCTTCCATGGTGTGTAGGGTGTGGAGAAGGCTGTAGGGCATGTATACAATGTTCACAAGGTCTCAGCTTTAGTATTGTCCTTTAAGGATGCAAGCTGCCTGGTTATACTCATGGTTTTCAGCTTTAAATATTGTCTTTCAACGATGTCAGCTGCCTGTGGGTCCTTTTTAAAGAGAAAGATGGGGTAAAATATTCTAAATAAAGAAAGAAAGAAATCTGATTTGGAGGGAGAGTGTCCATGGAAATAGGTCAAAAACAAATCCCCCGTTAAATTGGAAAATTTTGCACAAGACCCTAGTGGGTTTTTGTTGCTGCTGCTGCTGTTTTGTTGAAGAAAACAACCTTCTGTGGCCGTAACTGGGCCTCACAAAGCAACCCAATGCTTTGTGAGTGCATAATGTCGGCTGGACAGGAAAACTAGAAAAAAATCCGAGATGGAATGGATTTTAGTATTCTAAAAAAAAAAAAAAGATATAGCCTACCTTTGGGTTTTGTGGGCGGCATATAAGATAGATAGATAGATAGACAGACAGACAGACAGACAGACAGACAGATAAAAGCCGGGAAATACCAGGGGTGGAGAGACCAGAAGCACAGAAACACTGCAAATGTTTGTTGCAGGTTTCAGTTGCATGGTAGGTTTGCTACCTTTGCTACCACACAAGTAAACAAGAATTTGGCAACCTTGTTCATCTTTGTTTTAAGCTTTGGGGATGTGTCCCTTTCCGTTCCCTCCTTGTTTGTTATTCAATAAATGTTAGAAACCCAAACAGATTTTTTTTTACAAAAAGACCTCTGTTACTGGCAACAAATCAGGTCTCCTCTTAAATATAAAATCATCTGAAAACTGCAGAGTTTGAAGGGGCGTGATGGATCATGGAGTCTAGCCCCAGTCAAGGTGGCCCAGTGGGGAATTGAACTCCCAACCTCTGGGTCCACAGCTGGATAGGTAAAACACAGGGCTATCCTTGTTGTTTCTCGTGTTCTCCTTCCCACCCTCCGAGTTCCCCCACACTCACACCATCACTGTCCAGGGAAGAAGGAAGGACTCCACAACATCTGAAGCATGTCCTTAAAGTTCAAAACTAAACCCCTATAAATTCTGTTTTTGCCCATCGGGAAGCACAGAATTTTATTTTATCTATCTATCTATCTATCTATCTATCTATCTATCTATCTATCTATCTATCTATCTATCTATCTATTTTATTCCATTTATACCCCACCTTATCTGCTCAATTGTGACCACTCTAGGCGGCTTACAACACAAAATTTTTTAGCCTGAATCCTCAGCCTCTCTTCAATAGAAGAATGAACCCCACCACCCAGTATAACCAGTACCAAGTCAAACAGGGAAGTGCCAATTCTGCAACGCTGAGCCTTCTGGCCTGTGGATGGAGCTGAAATCCCACTGAAAACAATGAGACTGTCACTACAGTCATTACTCGGAAGTAAGCCCCACTGAGTTGGCTGGGGCTTAGTCCCAGGTAAACTGGGAATAAAAAGTGTGTTTTTGTAGATTTAACTCCAGAAGATGTATAAAAACGTCCAGCTGTCAGCTTGTCATCTCAGTGGGTCTACTTCTGAGTAACTGTCCTCAGGAGTTCCCAAATGGGTGCAGCTGCTTTGAGAAGCAACCAATAGAAATGTGAGGACCGACAATCGAACGGGCCTTCCTGGGAGATTTAAACTGCATTCGGATGAAGGCGCACCTTGTGCAACACCTGGAAGGAAAAGAGTCGTGAGTAGTTATGGTTGCTTTGGTTCTCCTGCAAAGCAGCAGAGACAGGAGGACACACTGTAACCCCACCAGGGCTTGGGAGAAGAAATATTATTTTGCTGATTTATTTTACTTATTGGAGAAGTGTCAATTTCTGCTTAGATTCTAAGAAAAGCTTTAAAAAAAGTATGGTGCAAATGCATGTCTCTTTACTCTTTGGGAGTAAGCCCTGCATAGTTCAACTGAGCTTGTTTTTGGGGAAAAGAGTGGAGAATTATGGCCTAAACGTTTGATTAATTGATTACAGTAGGATAAAAATAGCATCTTCACAGCTGACCCTGATAGCTTTATTTTCATCCTTTTTTAAAAAAAATTAAGCAATGTTATTGGCAGGTGGTTAACTTGAAAGGAAGCTTCTCCTGCTCCCCACTGGTGGCTTAATTTCTTGTTTGTTTAAAGAATGGGTCTAAATCTGAAACTGTAGAGTGCAGTGTAAAGAGTTACTTTCAGAAACCAGGCTCTTGAGAGTTATAATTCCAAGCCCTCTCCCAAAGTAGCTAGTTACTATTACAGTTTTGAAATAAGTTACCCCAACATTTCCCATATCTAAAAGGAATTGGAGGAGTTGCTGTCTGTAAATACTTTAATTACCTCTGAAAACATTTTCCCCCATCCAGTAGTGCAAGCTAACATTTGAATAATGTACCTATTTCTGCTGCACTGTGTCGTACATTAGGGAGGGCCACTGTAGCTTCAAAAGTAATTTTGAAATGGCAGTAACACCCTCAAAGGAGTGAAGTTGGCTCTTGTTAAGTTGAAAAACATGAGAGAACTATGTATTCAGGAACTTATACGTCTGTGAGCCCTTAGCAGGTGATGAGGTGTACAGAGCATTGATGCTGGCCGTATCCTGCACCCCATCCTAAGGAGGGGGAGAATCTTTACAGGAATTCCTGTACAATTTGGAGGCTTTAGATTTCTATAAATTGAGGCATGGTGACTGAGTTTTAAAATGTGTATCTTCCCGTCAACCCTATTCTTAACATCAGAAACCTTCTCTGGCAGCAGAGCTAATACAGGATGATGTTAACTCTGCCAGAGGGTCAGTAGCTCTGTGCTTTTCAAGACAAACTGGTGTTGAGAGTGAAATGCAAAATTTATTTATTTATTAAACTTATATGCCGCCCACTCTACCCAAAGGTCTCTGGGCGGCTTACAACAATTAAAATACAACAAAAGATAAAGCGCTTAAAATACAATTAAAATAGATCTAAAAATTGCCATCAGGACCTACAGTTGATGTTATTTCAATTAAAAGCCTTCTGGAACAAAAGCCAAATTTCACAGCTTGAAAGAATTGGAATAGCTGGAGTCCACCAAGGATCATGATGGGGAGGTGGGGTGGATTCTGGGGCTTGGAAAAAATAACACTTACTTGCTGTGATCATATTTGATTTGGAAGATAAGCATGAAACATTACATTGGGTAATATGATGAAGGGGCCGTCTTTGCTCCCAAGTCAATACCTTAAGCTAATTAAAAAATGCCATCAAAATTCTGACTGGTGGGGATCCTTTTTTAGGATTTTCTAAGTTGTTTTTAAAGAGGAGAGTATTTATCTTAGGGCGGGAAGATAAGTCAGTAAAAGAGGGTCAGCCCACTGAGGCTGGGGGTTTTCTTTGGAGTAAAAAGAAGACGCCAGTGTGGCCGACTGAGCACTCCACGTGAGTTCAGCTGTGTTGGATTGCGTGTTGGTAAAGATGTCTCTTTATGGTTGCTTAGGGAAGGGGCGGCTCAGCCTGCCAGCAAATCTGTGTGCTGCTCCCGAAACAGTTCCCTAGGATGCCCACCACTACAGAGCAAGATGAGCGGATGAGGAAATTCAAAAACCGTGGCAAAGACTTGGCAGTATGTATGGGGATCCTGATAAGTGGGTGGTGCAGAGCTTTGAATTTCTGGTTAAAATCCTCTAGTTGCACAGCAGGCGTGCAGGGATTCAAAGAGCAGAATTGCATCGGGTTCCTCAGATTAGTCTACCCGTTTTTTGCAGTCACTGCATTTACAGTCTTAATAAATCACTCTGAGACAGTAGTAGAAAGAATCAAAGGTTTCATTACTTACATTTCAACAGATCAAACAGCAACCTGACCCACATGACTGCTTTCGACACCAGATTTCCATAGACTCAAGAGAGGGATGGAGAAACTCTCAAGCAGGGAGGTGGAACTTTCTTTGAATTAAGGGGCAGGGAAGGAACGATTGGTTAGTACTGATTGGACTGGCAGTCAGTTCGGCCCAGAAAGGTCCCTCCCAGCCAGACCTACTAAAGGCAGCATGCAAGGTTGGAAAAACTCTAATAGGGGACCATGGGGGGAATTTCTGGGTAGCAGACAAGTGTGAAGCCATCAAACTGCACATAGCGGAAATATCCCAGGGGCAAACTGGCATTATACATGGAATTCAGCTTGCATTTCTCAAACTCTCCCAGCTGACAAGAGTGAGTGCCCTGGAGAGAAAACACCAAAGCTCCCTAACTGGATTTCTTCGCCTTAATGGAACCGAGGATATGTGTTTGTTTAAAAGAAGGATTTTTGTTTTATTCCAGGTAGCAGAATTTGGATATTTGAAGTGGGGACCACAACCCCCAGTATCCCCCAACCAGCACAGATAATAGTTGAAGGATTCTGGGGGTTGTAGTCCAAAAAGTTATTCAGGTTATGGTCCCATTGGGAAATCCCTCTCTGTGCTCTTTGGGGATTTCTGGGCATTATTACTCCCCCCCCCAAAAAAGTAACTTTTCCAAAGTCTCAGTAGAAGATGCCCTATTTCTGATCAAACACACACCTTTTTGCATTGGTTTTGTCCCTAAGGTTACAAGGTTCTGCATAAAAGCCAATCCTATCAAATGGCACAGTTAACGCTTAGAAGGGAGAAGTCTTGTCTTCTCCAGGCTGCAGAAAATCTGGTTTTCCAGAGTCCCTGCTCCCTAGGACTGGAGTTTTCCTGGTGTTTGTTTGGCCCGTATGGGCTTAACCCTGGACTGTTTCTCTGGCCAGGTGATGAGGGTACAAAGGAGGGAAGTTGGAGTTGAACTTCGCAAGGCGAGGAAGGACGAGCAGATCTTGAAGCGGAGGAACATCTGCTTCACGGCAGAAAATACACTTTCTCCAGAAAAAGAGGAAAAGTCTGAGGTATATATATGTGTGTGTGTGGTGACTGATGTAGCATAATGACTTTTTATGAGAGTTCCCGGAAACACTCCATCCCATAAGAAGAATTCAACGCTGTATTTATAGACATCAACAAATGAGGAACAGGTCTTTTGTAAAATCAATGGCTCTTAATGGTCCAGGTCTTTTGTAAAGTCAATGGCTCTTAATGGACTATTCTAGACCAAAGCACCCTTTTGCAATACAGCAGGGGCAGCTTGCTGTATCTAGTGTTCCTGGGAAAAATCTGTTTTTCTCCCGTCTTATGACATGGCAAGAGCTACGCTCAGTGGGAACAGGATTCCCGAGAGAGGGTGCCAAGAAGGTGGATGAAATCCAGAAATCTTGGGCTATCAATCCTATAAGCCTTGGGTCTGTTATGTTCTGGGATGTGAGTTAACCCTTGCGTTTCCTAGACCACGGGGTCCAAATTTGGATAGAAAAGGGGGAGAAGGGTGTAGTGCAATTAAGACCTACCACCAGCTTTGCTGGTGGATCAGGGATTCTGCAGCATAACTCAGTGTGTGGAATGGCCTAGTTAAAAATCAACCTAATAATACTTCTACATTACACTTGTGATGAGCAATTAGTCCAAGGCTAACCAGAGTGGATTTTTAAAAATCTCAGTTGTAATTAATATTAAATGATGGGGGACTAAGAAACATCTATTAGTGCTTCTTAAAAATTGCCCGGAGATCTACCAGTGTGTCCTGGGTCTCTTTTGCAAAAAAAACAAAAACAAAACAAAATCTTGAGTTTGCAGCTTCCTGAAGTTGGAGGATATGAGCTTTCAGATTAATTAGTGTTTAACTAGAAAGGACAGCAGCCCAGTGCTGAGTTGGTGAAGAGCAGAAAGGAGCAACTGCTGTGGATACAGTTAGTCAAGTGAAAGGAAAAACTAGATTACTCTTCTGTTGAACAGCTTTGGAATTTGGACAGAGGAACCCCTAAGTCTGGGCTTCTGTGCGTGCATGTCTGCTGAAAACTATATTTCTGTATAATTCAAACAGAGGTGCAGGACAGGGAAAAGGACTTTGAAGAGCAAAAGAGGAAGGAAGCCATAAGAGTAGCAGTCTGCATGTAGATCTAGAAAAGATCAAAGAGGAAAAACATCCTATCTCTTTGTCAACTTGTCCAAGCACTATATGTGTTAATGTTACAGCCACAGGCAGACAGATTGACATCCTCTTGGCCCATTGCAGGAGAAACATGATGAGGTTTCCTGGTCCATCAAATCTACTCCTGCGGAAATTCATGAATAGTAGCTTTGGGCAGCCTGCTGTTGGTTGGGAACCTGCCTTCACCAGGGTGCGTGTGTGTGCACATGCCCTGCAGCTTTCCAGGGGGCTGTCAGCTCTGTAACCCTTTCTCTCCCTGACGCAGGCCGCCCATCTCTCTCTGGAGGACATGGTCAAGACGATACAGTCGGACGACCCGCAGTTACAAATGAAGGCGGCCCACGCAGTCCGGTAAATGAAAGCCACATCGGCTTGGTATTTTGTGCGGACCTTTTAGGTCCACAAAAACTGCATTATAGGCTCTCCCCCCCTCCCCGAGTTACAGGCAGAGGGGAGATTTCAGTTTTGAGCTGAGCCTGCTATAGCCCACAGGGAGAGGAGCACCCACCGGTCTTCTCAGTCCTCCCACGCCATCCTCATTTTCCCTTGCCATATTGGTGGGAGGTGCGGAGGCCCTCTTGAGCTGCTGCAATGACATTGTGACTACGTCGCACCTATTTTACACCAGGGGGAGCCTCGCTTTTCCATCCTGCACCTTCGGCGCTCCAAACGCCCCTTTGGTTTTCACCTCTCAATGAACCCTTGCCGTTCGGGATCTGTTTCGGCGGGGGCTGTGTTTGTTTCAAAGCATTGATTTCCCCATCGCATTCACAAATCTACACGTCTGTGCCACAGGCTTCGGTCCCCCCAGGTTTTGCAGGAAAAGCTGCCCAGTTTAACTTGCACACTGTGGCTCCTTGCAAGGCCACTACATTTCATCAAGTGAGACAGTCGCAAGGCGGGGCCTTTTCAGTGGTAGCTTCATCGGTCTGGAATTTCATCCTCTTGAGAACTCTTGATTAGCCCTGCCCCCTTTTGTGCCCTTTAAGCCAGAGATGAGCAACATATGCTGGCTTGGAAGCCAGTTCCCAAATCCTGGAGTCCTTTTTCCAGAGTGCCATCCTTTTGTGCCTTGTTTTGCTTACGAATCACAATTTTCCTTGAGCTTCTAGGAATCTGGCGCTCCATTTTTGTCATCGTATTGCGGCTGGAACTACAAAAATCATGGAGAAGCCAAAAGCAGCTTGAGGTTCTCTTCCAGATGCTGCTCAACCCTGCACTAAAGCAAATGGTGCAGCTTATAGCGCTTAAAGCACTCTCTCGATAGTTTGCATTTTTACTATGCAAGTTACACATTGCCTCCCACCCGGGAGCTCAGTCCTCAATTTACCGACCTTGGAAGGATGAACGAAGCTCAAGCCAGCTCGCTGAGATTGAACCCAGGCCATGAGCAAAGTCATGGCTGCAGTACTGCAGTTGAACCGCTGCACCACAAGGCTCCTAAAGATCTCCCTTTTAATGGTTTTTGTGGCGTTTTCAGGCTCTTTGGCCATCTTCTGAAGGTTGTTCTTCCTCACGTTTCGCCAGTCTCTGTGGCCGGCCTCTTCAGAGGACAGCACTCTGTGCTCTGGTGTAGTTGGCTTGGGAGTGGAGTATTTATGGCTGTGAGATGGGCTTTTGTCCTTTTCAGGAGATAGTGAAATGTTAGGAAGAACAACCTTCAGAACACGGCCAAAGAGCCCGAAAAACCCACAACAACCATTGGATCCCGGCCGTGAAAGCCTTTGCGAATACAAATCTCCCTTTTAATTGAGGAAAAAAAACTTTCATGTTTTTCCTAGCACCGTTCAATTCTTGCTGGTACAAGCCCAGCACAGAACTGGAAGAGACTGCCCCGTAATCTCTCTTGCCCCGTCTATAGACCCACCGGGCCAAAAGGCAAGGTGAAAATCCTTTTCAGCAAACACTTTGCCTCGAGTCTAACGGACTGTGTTAATCTGGAAGAGGAAAGCAAAACCCACAAGGGATGGAACCTTCCATAGGATCAACTGTAAATGCATAAAACATCCAGTCTTCTGAGTGTTACAGAACTTTTCTTCAGGCGAGACGGTAAAAAACTGGAAAGGAAGGGAAGAGTTCAAAGTGGTCTTCCAACCCTCCAAGAACTGCAGATAAAGTGCTAGATTGGAAAGTAGGTTTCAGACAGTCAAGATAGAGGCAAAGTTTCCTTCTCTGGAAGAACAAAGACCGGAGCAAGGTGCCCCTGGATTAATCTCGGGTCCTTTGCAGGCTTTAACAGTGGCGCAAAGGAACCTCTGCTCCGAAGCTGGAGATTAAATGTTTGCACATTCACAGTAGATCATAATAAAGGTTCCATTTAATGGCGGGCTTGGTTCCTTGCAGGGACTCTCACAACAGTTGCTGCAGAATCTTGTACCTTCTTTTAATTGGCATCATGATCTATACAATCACACGTCCTTCTGCCCTTGAGCTGTGAGGATGCATCTGTTGGTTCAGGCATTGGAGTTCACCCAGGCTGTCCTCTTCTTTCCTCCGGCAGGAAGCTGCTCTCCAGGCAGAAGAATCCGCCCATCAACCAAGTCATCGAAAGCGGGATCATTCCGAAACTGGTGGACTTCTTGTACCACCACGATGTCCCTGGCTTGCAATTCGAAGCCGCCTGGGCGCTCACAAACATTGCTTCGGGAACCTCGGACCAGACCAGGGCGGTGGTGGAAGCCAACGCCATCCAAGCCTTTGTCGTCCTCTTATCTTCTCCCTATCTGCACATCTGTGAGCAAGCGGTGTGGGCCATGGGCAACATCGCAGGTACGCCGTGGGGCTTCCAACTGAGTGTGGACGAACAGCTTGATCATCCTTCCCGCCCCTGGGTCCCGAGCAGTTGTTCTGGCCTCCTTAATGCCCATTGGCCTCAGCCAAGGTGGGCCAATAATAACCATGTCTTGATGATGCGCTGTTCAAGTCAATTCTGACTTATGGCAAATTTTTCCAGGGCTTTTCTGGGTAAGGAATGCTCTGAAGTGATTTGCTATTCTCTTCCTATGGGGGAAGCGACTGTGCCGCTGGCCCAAGGCTACAAGAGGCCCAGTGGGGGAATCAAATCTCCCAACCTTGGGCTAGTGAAGCCAGAGATCTAAATGGCCAAGCCAGCCAGATGATCTTACTTTGCATAAAATAGAAAAGCTAAGAGTCACGGTACAAGATCGATGGACAGAGCTGAAGTCCTGGGTTAAAAAAAAGGAACACGGGTTGTCTTCCCAGGTAGAGAAGGATGATGATGCCCTTTTAAATGTTTTGATGACGGCAGCTGGATGATGTTTTATTTGAAAGAGACGTGTTTCTTGGCTTAATGCCAAACCCTCCGGGCTCATGGAGACTGCTCCTTCTGTGTAGGTGACGGACCGTTGTACAGAGATGCCCTGATCAGCTTCAATGTGATTCCGCCGCTTTTGGCGCTGGTGGCCCCCACGACCCCGGTATGTATGCTCTCCGGCTTGAGATGATTCTGATGGGATGGTTGGTTCCTCCTTTAACCCTAGAAAGCAAGCTACTCACTTTTAACTACAGTCATGCCCCGCTTAACGATTGCCCCCATTATCCCACGACCCCGGTATGTATGCTCTCCGGCGTGAGATGATTCTGATGGGATGGCTGGTTCCTCCTTTAACCCTAGAAAGCTAGCTACTCACTTTTAACTGCAGTCGTGCCCCGCTTAACGATTGGCCCCATTATGATGAATCTGCTTTACAATGATGTTTTGCGATCGCAAACGATGATCCAAATGGGGGAATTTCAATTAGCAATGATCGCTTCCCTGCTTCGGGAACCGACGCTTTACGATGATCTTTTTGTGATCGCAATTGTGATCGCAAAACAATGCTCTAAATGGGGGAATTTCGCTTTGCGATGATCAGTTCCCTGCTTCGGGAACCAGTTCTTTGCAAAACGATGTTTTTCTAACAGCTGATTGGTGGTTTCAAAATGGCCACCGGGTAATTAAAATGGCTCCCCGCTGTGCTGAGGGACGGATTCCTCGCTATACAGGCAACGAAAATGGCTGGCGTATGGAGGATCTTCGCTGGACGGTGAGTTTTTAGCTCATTGGAACGCACTGAACGGTTTTCAATGTGTTTCAATGGATTTTTTAATTTCACTTTAGGACGTTTTCACATTTTCCTGGAACAGATTATTGTCAAGCGAGGCACTACTGTATTGGTAGAGGGATGGGAGGGGACCCATGCTAGAACTGTGTACACTATAGGCCAACCAACTACTTTCAATATACTGTGACTCTATGAAGGAGTGACCTCCAACAGGTCCCATCCTTAACGGCCCAGCTGAGGTCTTGAAAAGCAAAGGCTGTGGCTTCTCTTTCAGAGTCGATCCGTTTCATGTTCAAGTCTTCCTCATCTGTTACTGCCTCTCTGTTTTCTTAGTGTTACAGTACAACCCCCACCCACCCTGCTTGTGGGATCAGTCCCTCAGTTTCACTTATCTGCTGCCTGAAAATACGGGGTGGGGGTGGGGGAATCCCAGAAATACAAAGATTCACTTATCTGCTGCCTGAAAATACAGGGGGGGGGGATCCCAGAAATACGTATTTATGCATATTTCCATGGTGTGTTTACCAGAACTGGCCACTAGCAGAAACCAGAGACCATGCAAGGTAAAGAGTTCAATACTTCTGTGTTTGGTTTTTTGTTTGTTTGCTTTTGGCATCTGCAGAGGGGGCTCGGTATCCCCCATGGATACCACGGTCCTGTTCTCTTTCACTGAATCTTGCCACCTTGTGTTACGACCAAAGCCGTTGAGCCCCTTTGGTTTCTAGCAAGACTTCAGGCTCATTAGGAGGCCTGTCGGGGGCTGCCTAGACCCAGGATCTGGTGCTCGGGGTAAAGCCGGCTTCTCTGTGCTGCGCCCCCTTCCCCAAGAGATGCTTGAATACAATCTTCTTCTGGTTCCAGGTTGGGTTCCTGCGGAACATCACCTGGACGCTCTCCAACCTCTGCAGAAACAAGAACCCCTGCCCTCCTCTCGGGGCCGTGAAGCAGATCCTCCCCACGCTCACCTGCCTGCTGGAGCACGAGGATGAAGAAATCCTGACGGATGCCTGCTGGGCCATCTCTTACCTGACCGACGGATCCAATGATCGGATTCAAGTGGTGGTAGAGGCGGGTGTCCTGTCGCGGCTGGTGGTGTTTCTGACCCATGCGGAGCTCCCTCTTCTGGTAAGTCGGGGCCGACTTTAGACATTAGAGAGAACCTCTCATTGGGAGAAGAACCCCTTGATGTGCTGACAGCCTCTGAGTGTCTCTATCATTTATGGTTTGGCCGTTGGCTTGCTTTGCTTCGTGGTGGGTCGTTAGGGGGTCAATGTGAGCTTCATTTGCCAGTCTGATCCCTCGGCCATGCAGGTCTGCCTGCCTCGTGGCTCTGGAACACTAAGAGATTTCGGCTTCAGAGGGACAACCCTGTAATGTGTAGTTTGACCTCGTAAAGTTTTTAGGGGAAGTAAGCCGCTACTACAAAGCTCGGCCTGGCTTTTATTTTCAAGACTCCAGCTCTCCGCGCAATGGGCAACATTGTCACGGGGACAGACCAGCAGACGCAGATGGCCATTGATGCGGGCGTGCTGTCGGTTCTGCCCCGTCTCCTGCGTCACCCGAAGTCAACCGTGCAGAAGGAGGCGGCCTGGACCCTGAGCAACATCGCAGCCGGGCCCTGCAGCCAGATCCAGCAGCTGATCACCTGCGGCTTGCTCCCCTCGCTGGTGGAGTTGCTGGATAAGGTAACACCTCCCATTGTCCGGAATTATTATTGTTTGTGTCACAAATGCACTCAAAATATAAGGGCCTTGGATATCAGATAAACTTGGGGATCACCGGTGCATGTATGCAAGCTGCAGAAAAGCCATTTGCACACAAGTAAATGTCCTTCACCCCACCCCTTTATTGGGGAAAAAGAACATCTTTAACTGGAAAAAAAAGAGTTTCTAGTCCTTATGACTGCCAAGAGGTTCTTGAACGTTTGCACATATGGAGGGAAAGGTAATGGGTGAAGCACAAAACACCGAGAGGGGAAAAACCTGCCGCCTATGATACTGAGGAGGACCTATACCTTGCTTGGCTAGTAGCCGATGCCCTGTTGAAGCCATCCCACTTGGCTGTTCACTGCGTGCTGGGCAGAAGTTTGTGTCATTCCCGGTTTGTGAAACCAGTGCATGATGAGGGCTGGAGCCAGAATGATATCGTAATAAATAGTGGATAGGCTCCAAATGAGCCGATTTGGGTGCCTCCTGCTTTTCCGTGGGCGAGATGACAACTCGGGTGCAAAGAGGAGAGAATCCTGCAGGCGATGAGACCGTGATGCTGCGCTAGGAACGGCTGACGCTCTGTTGTTAACAGCCCTTCTCTTGTTCCTCTGCCTTCTTTCTTGGACAGGGTGAATTCAGAGCCCAGAAGGAGGCGGTCTGGGCAGTTGCCAACTTCACCACTGGGGGCACTGTGGAGCAAGTGGTGGAACTGGTCCAGGCGGGGGTCTTGAAGCCTTTATTGAACTTGTTGACAGCCCGAGATGGTAAAACCATCCTCGTTGTCTTGGACAGCATCTCGAACTTCTTCCTGGTAAGTGGGCGTATGCTACCCCTACCCCCCCAAGTTTGCCTTTAGGTTCAGCTTGCAGCGTGTCTCTTCTTCCGATCCTCCAGGCAACAGGGGGTTGCTACAGCGGGAAACTCAATGAGAAGATGGCCACCTTCGTTTCCTGGATTCATTTCCATAAGAATCACCTTGGTACTGGCGTAGACCATGGGCAGAGATGGAGGCAGGGGAGGTTCTGATGCCAGTCGGGTAGTCAATCCGTTCCAGGTTTTTACTCTGAATTTCCAGGGAGCCATGCAAAGTGTTTTGCTCCTTTCCCAGATAGGTTTGATAGACGTTAGATAACTCCTGGAAATGACACAATAAAACCTGGAATGGATTCGCCAACCCACTGGCATTGGAGCCTCTGCTGATTCAGTTTTGGGTTGTGGCTTTGAAACGACTGTCCTGCAGCCGGCCGTGTCCATTGTGGGCCAAGGTGTGTGAGATCTGGGAGTTGTACTGATAAGTAACTTTTTAAAGTGGTAGAAATGGATAGTGCGATACAGATAAGGGGTACATAGTGCTATGAACCTAAAGGTATGGTGGAAATATTACTCCCCACTTCCATGGATTATTTTCTGTGAAACAAAAAAAAGATAAATATGTGAGGACTACAGATGGGATATTATGGTGATATTTCTTCTTGTATACATTATTGTCTTGGATATCATAATGCTTGCAAATTTTCTCCTTGATAAAATAGAATATCTCGGGAAACTCAATTGAAACATTAACTGTTGTCTGATTTGTTTTCTTCTGCCACAAAAGTAAAAAGGCTGTGCCTTTTTTCCTTAATCAGTAAAATTAGTAATGGGTGCAAAAATAGAGAGAGAAATCTTGGTGGTTTTCTGTTTAAACTGTTTATTTTGTGCAAAACGTATGTGTAAAATGCAAGATGCTGTGTGCAAAACAAAAGCACCCTTCTCCTTTTTTTTTCTTTTTTGCACACACACAAAAAGGTCTGATGTCTGTGTGGAGGGAAGCCCCAGCGAACCTCTTTTATCATCCCAGCAAGTGGGAAGAAAGAAATTAATTTTTCATTTTCACTTGTATAATCATGTACGCCTCTACATCCCATAGCACTTGAATTGCATAACAACAGCCGTGACTGGAAGTAGCTAAAGGACAACTAATAATAAAAGTAACTGTATGGCATCAAGTCAATTCTGATTTAGCATGACCCTTTCGTGGTTTTCTAGGTAGAAAAGACACAGAAGTGTTTTACCCTTCCCTTCCTCTAGGGGGAGCCCTGGGACTGTGCAGCTGGCCCAAGTCCCCCCAGGCTGGCTCATCTTCTGGGGAGGCCCAGTGGGGAACCCCCAACCAGATGTCTAACTTGCTGAGCTATTCAATCAGCTGCCCTTAGACTGAAATGGATTCTCAAGAAAAAGGAAGGACTCTTGAGCCATCTTAAGGACGAACAAGGTTGTTCCATCATAAACCTCTGCAGATTATATCTTGCTTCATGAGATGCCTGTGATGAAGTGGGCTAAAGCTCATGCTATAATAAGAGTTGACCTTGAGTCGCCCTGGTGCTCCTTGTTGTTTTAGCTGCAACGGGCCAAGTGAAGTGGGCTAAAGCTCATGCTATAATAACATGAGTTGACCTTGAGTCGCTCTGGTGCTCCTTGTTGTTTTAGCTGCAACCGGCCAAAGGTCAAAACGGAGATTAGAGCGAATCCTGTCATCGAACTTTCTTAAACAGCTGGATTTGTTCATTTCTGCCCTTGCATGACATTTCTTGAACTCTGCAGCTCAGAAGTCAGTTCACTTTTGCTCAATGACTGATCATCAGAAGATACGAACAGGCTTCGGTTGGCCAGCGATGAGCAGGGCAGCTTGGAAAGATTGTGCTTTGGAAAGAAAATGTCTTGCCACTTTCTAATTGCAAATCTAAATGTTTCATCTCATTCAGCCCTAACACAGGACCTGTTTGAAAAGGGTGTTGTAGGGGGAAGTAGGCAAATAGCAAATTCGGCGTTTAAGCACTTTTTCCTTCTCTGTCTCGTACATCAGTCTGCCGAAAAACTAGGTGAGACGGAGAAGCTATGCCTTCTTATAGAGGAACTTGATGGATTGGAGAAAATTGAAGCTCTCCAGACTCATGAGAATGTCTTAATTTATCGAGCTGCATTGGGCCTCATTGAGAAATACTTTTCCGAGGTAAGTTAACTCTGAATCTTATGCCCATTGTTTGGAAGGCATGCGTTTGAGCCAAGCACTTTAGTTAGCTGATTCATTCCTGGGGGACCTCTTTTTTAGTGTAATTATAAATGTTTATGAACTGTTCAGAGTGAAGGATTTATGAACTCCTTAGGTCTCAAGATTCAAAGCCGTGTACAATAATAATAAAAGGGGCAATGTACTGAATTCATAAAATTAGAATATCATGCTTACGTTGTCTGTGAAATGGATGAACAACACACTTGCATCTAACCAAACTCCTCAATTTTCAGGTATGTTCTCAAACATGATTTTACTCCTTGTGGCAACAGCTGACTTTCGGATCATTGATTTCATTTTAATTTTGTTTAAAAGTACTGTATTCTATTGGTATTCTATTGGCTTTAAATGTCTCCTTTAAGAAGGAAGGTGGGTTTGTGTGAGATTAAATACAGTGGTGCCCCGCATAGCGATGATAATCCGTTCCGGATAAATCGTCTCTATCCTGAATCATCGCTATGATAAAAACCCCTTAGAAATGCATTTAACCCCCTTCAATGTGTTCCTATGGGGGATAAACTCACCGCTATGTGGAAATCCTCCATACGGCCGCCATTTTCGCTGCCTCGGTAAGCAAGGAAACCGCGGAAAAACGCTGCAGGTAGCCATTTTTTTCTTCCAGCGGCCATTTTGGAACGGCCGATCAGCTGTTGGAGAAACATCGCAATGCAAAAATCGGTAAGTGAAACGCTTACCGATCATTGCAATGCGATGTTTACCCATTAAAAACATCGCAATGCGATCGCTTTTGCAGTCACAAAATCTGCATCACTATGCGGATTCGTCATTAAACTGGGCGCTCGTTATGTGAGGCACCACTGTAGTTGATAGTCTGATTTTTTTTTGTTCCGGTGTCTGTCTGCGTCGTTGTTGAGGCACCACTGTAGTTGATAGTCTGATTATTTTTTTTGGGTTCCGGTGTCTGTCTGCGTTGTTGCTTCAAGGGAAAGGATGCTAGTTTTGCACAGAGAGACATAAATTATGTAAACAAATGGACTTTGAAAGAGTGGGGGGGAGGGAAGGGTCCCCTTGGCTTGCTCTAAAGCTTGCGGAAAGAAGTCTAGAAGGGCTTGAAAATTCCTTGTTGAGGCATTGCCCTGTTGAGGAGAAGCTTACGTACACGGGAACAAGGAACGTAGCAGGTCTTCACCGTTATCTCTAAGCAGAGATGACTTGAATGGTTTTCTCTCTTCCAGGACGCCGAAAACACAAATCCAGAAGCAGACCAAGAAAGGAAGACTCTGCCTTTTGAGGCTGAGCACCAAGGGTTCTACAGCTTCTAAAAGAGAAGGTGACACCCCCCAGACATCTGGATAACCTGGTGATGGTTGCACAGTGTGGCAGTCCGAGCACTTTGAGGGAAGCTAATGGCTCCCATTTGTACTTCCATTTATGGAAATAAATCACTTTCTAAGATTTGTAAGATCTGTGTCCTGGAGCTGCTTCTTTCTTCCTGTTGACCAAGGATGGGGAACCTTTAGTCCTTCCAGAGTCTTTGGGCCCAGCATTGCTCTTAGCTGGTGCCAACCACGGACATTGGGTGAGGGTAATGGACATGGATGGCTCCAGGGTCAGGAAGGACACGAAATCCACTCCAGTTTTTAGTTCGGTCTTTAGAAAAGAGGAGCCTATTTTGGAGGTAGGGTTCAGTACCTTGGATAGCTCCTGGAAAGCTTGGGTGAAAAGCTGGAGTGGATTTCACTCCCCTGCAGACTTCAGAGCAACTGGAATAGGGGACCACAGTGATTCGGATAATCTGGAGTACCAGAGGTTTGCCAGCCCTGCTGTTGGGAAAGAGTGAGGGTGGGAAAGGGCTGAGTAGTCGTCATGCTCAGACCTTTTCTCAGGGCTTGTAAAAGCTGCCACAGCCATCATCTCTCAGATAAGATTATTGTGGTTGCAACTGTCCTGTGCAACAGATCGGACCCAAGATATTCCTCTGCCAGAGCCATGGCAGCAAAGCGCACCTCACTATCCTCTCTCAAGGTGCAGAGTTCCAAAGCTTGGCAAGTTGTCTCAAAGGCCAAGAGCAGGACATCCAGTGAGCACCACTCCCCAACATTCAGCATTCACCATTTAAGTAACAAATCCATCGCTGATCTTTCTAGAAGTTGAGTCGTGGCCACTGGACTTCTTCCTTTGAATTGTTTTGCTACTCATCCAAGGAGCTTCTTCAGTCTTCAGTGTGAAGAAGCTACTTGGATGAGTAGCAAAATGTTTCCACCTAAGAAGGAAGAAGTCCAAGAAGGTCATAACTCAACTTCCGGATAACCTCACCTGGAGGACTGAGAATCTTCACAGATATTTTGCTAATCTTGTGTGAAGACACTTGCATCAGCTGCCTCAAGGGGACCCGTCCTGCCTTGCAGAATCACTGGACCCATTGTGGTGCATTGGAGACGGGCCAGTTGGCCAGTTGACACCTCCCAGTGTTGCCTTGGCCAGCATCCCCAATGGTGAGCCTTGTTGGGAGTGGATGCCCAATGACATCCACCCAAGTCCCAGTTATTTCCGTTCCTGTTTAAGAAATCTGCAGACTTAACTGAGAACTGCAGACCTGGAAGGAACCCTAAGAATTGTGGAGTCTGGCCCCTGTCAAGGGCATTCCACTCCCAACCTCTGGCTCCCGCCAAAATACTTTAGGAAGTTCCTATTTAAACACCTAAACACATTTAAAATGCTGAGCCCCTTGCACTGACATAGTTCCTGAACTTGAGAAAGGTTCATGTTTTTCTTGGACAACAAAGAGCTCCTCAACCAGCCTGACCACAGGGGATTCTGGGGATCGTAGTCCAAGAATATATAGTACCCACCAATCCCTGCCCGGTTCAATTGGTACACAGCATAGAGACAATCGCGTTCTGCGTGCTTTCCATGTTGCTATTGGGGACAAAGCGCCTGCCAGCAAAACAGGCAGGGCAACCCTCATTTTGTTACCAAATTGAATTCAAATGGAATTTAAATTGTCACCACAAATGAGGTTGAAGACACTGAGATTCCAAACAGATGCTGAGCTATGCGCCAAAATCGTTTGGCCTGGATGAACGAACAAACGTGTCAGTTCTGTTTTTCTCTCCCACCGGAGATAAATATATATGATCTTATAGATATAGATGTAAAACTATAAATTATGATTATATACTTATTTTATAATTATATAGAAGTATACGTAATTAGAAATTATAATTTTTTTAAATTTATATGAGATAGACAGATAGATAGATAGACAGACAGACAGACACACACAGACACAGATAGAATGGCAGAGATGGAAAGGGACCCTGTGGATCATCCAGTCCAGCCCCTGTCAAGGAGACCAGGTGGGGGAATCAAACTCCCCACCTCTGGCTCTGCAGCCAAACGCCTAAATCACTGAGCTATCCAGTAGTCTTTCCATGTATGTGTAAAGGAACGTCCAGCTTCCTGCTTTTGCATTCATGGAAGGCTTCACAAGTTTCTGAAAGGTCTTCTCGGAAAGCAGAACCCAAAGAAATGTGCCCCTTCCGCCTTGTGCGTACATCCCCTGCAGAGGCTCAGCCTTGAGGCAGCTGGGAGCTGTAATTTCACACTCGATTCTCGGAACGGTGCACGCTTTTCAAATGAAATGTGGTTGGGACTGGCAGGGACTGCTTCCCTGCCCTGCGTTTAGTGCTTTACTGTGCTGTATGCAAGCAAAGAGACTCCGATGGGGCAGTAGCAGCTGATCCTTTTGCACAAGGGAGATGCTGCAGGCATTGGGAGGTGGGAGCTATCAACCTTTCTGCCCCATGGCTAGCTTGCGCAGAAAGCAGAGGAGCAGACCGGCGTGCAGCTGTTTCAAAGAGTCTTTTTCCTGCCTCCACCAAGCCTATGGATGGGAAAGCTTTAATCGAGGCCCGTTGCTCTACCGCACATTCTGTAAAATATCCTGCCCTTACGTCTGCTTCGTTTTTTGACAGCCTCGCGTCAGGAGATAGGACTGGCCAAAGTTGGGAAGGAGCGCTGGACTCTTTGGGGGTTTGGGGGATTCTCCAAGAAATCTTGGAATTACAGCCCATAAACCTGAGTGCCTGCCCCATTGCCTTCTCTAGCCAGAGATGCCAACAGTGTCAGTAAATACCTTGAANAAGCCCTTCTTTTATTGGGGGGGGGGGAGTGTAATCTGCAGGTGTGCAGATTTCAGTCTGTGGTCGACAATTCCTGGAATTCTTCAGGCTTCATTGCCCTATAAGTTTGGGTTATGGGCATCTGAGGAGAGGAGAGAGAAAGGGGGAGTTGCATCTGGGTTTGAAACATGCGAGGGCTGCAGTAGTTCTCTGAGCCAAAGATCGAACTCAGGTTGTGAGCAGAGTCGTCGTTGCAGTACTGCAGTTTAACCACGGCGCCATGAGGTTCAGAAGATGCACGTGGGCCTTTCCAGCAAGAAATGGCAACGCCCAGAGTCTCATCCTTCCAGCAAGAAATGTCTGCACCCATGATGTGGACTTTTATTTGAAAACGAGACATGCCGTTGTGAAATAATGGGCTGCAGAGAAAAACAGGGTGCAGAGAGCATTGGGGTAAAGACCTCTTGAGGTTTTAACTGTGTCCAAACCGGTGCCATTAATTAGTAATAAATAAATACTGCTTCTCATGCTAGAGGTCATGTGTAGCCATCTTGACTACTGTATTGGCCATTCACAGCCATGTCCTCTGTGAATTGACCCGATCCCTTTTAAACCTCCTGTAAGGAAACAGTGGTTGATGTATCTGGCTGCAGAGCCAGAGATTTGAGAGTTCGATTCTCCGCTGTGCCTCCTGCAAGAAGAGCCAGCCTGGGTGCCCTTGGGCCAGCTGCACCATCCCAGGGATGCCCCCTAGAGGAAGGGAAGGGTAAATCACTTCTGATTACTCTCTATCTAGCAAACCTTGAAAACGCTCATTTACCATAAGTCAGAACTGACATGAGGGCCTGTGATTATTATTAAGAAAACAGATGAAATTATTTAGTAGTGTACCACCTCTGGATTTCTAGTGACCTCTGAGTGGATCCAAATAAGGAACATGAATTCTAGTATTGGGATGATGGGGGAGGTTAATTTACTTTCTCCACACCACACTGAAAGTTTGTTGACATCTGTCATTTACATATGTTTACCTTTTCCCTCTGTCTCAGCTGTCTCCTCCTGCAAGACAGGAAGGCAATAAGCTTGTGGGGGGGGGGTAAGCCAGCAGCCACCAAGGAGAAGTTGGAGACTGTCTGTCTGGCCAGCATCTCCTTTGTAATGTTAATAATTAAGCAGGACAAGCAATCGCCTCGTCATTTGGTGTGTCTCGGTGTGGTCCTACCATCTGACCCACCTTCTACGTCACAACTGAAAATCACTTTTCCAAGAAGGATGACCTGTACAAGGAGCCAGCCCATGTGGATTAAGGATCTGAGAGGTGTTTGACTGACGGGTTGACACTGACAAACTTGAGGAACGGCCTTTTCCCATCCGGATGTCCCTCGGGGATGCTGGCAGAGCACGCCTGCTTTTCACAAGGGACTGGTGCTACCCGTGGCCTGAGGCAGATCTCTTTGTAGACGGACTAGCGAGATTCCGTGCATGGGCGAAGCTGCTCCTGTTTCTTATAGTGCTAGTTTACCTCACATGTAAGTTCAACATCCCTTTTCGCTTTTTCGTTCACTCTGAAGATCTCTGTGAGGGCAATCGCCTTGCACTGTCTTGTTAAGAAACGTCCTAACTTGTGAGAACATCTTGCCCGCAGAGGATCATGGCAGCAGTTCAATTACCGAGGGCAACATTATTCCCATTTCACAGATGACGACCGAGGCCGAGATCCTGCGTGTTCCCAGCTGTTTAGTTTGAACAGCCCAACAAAGGGCCCCTCTCCCTGTGTCCCCCTTTGATTCTGGGGATGTCCAGAGTGGCCTGCTGAGCCCAGGAAGACATTCACCCCATTTGAACAGCATCCGAGTCACTCCTGCGTCTTGTGGCAGGGAGTTCCACAAACGTTCACTAACAGTGAGCGTTCCCAGGATTTCCCCTTCTTCTGGGGACCGATTTAGAGGATAGGAACTCTGCAGTCCCGCACTTTCTGACACACTCAGAGTGCTAAATTAATGAATACCCTGTGAAGCAGTAGTTTTAACAGCGAGGTCCTGTCCAAGAACTGCTGGATAGCGCAGTGGTTTTGGCATCTGGTTGGGAGTTCGAATCCTCACTGGGCCTCCTAGACACGGCCAGGACTCGATGATCCACAGGGTCCCTTCCAGCTCTGCAGTTCTAAGATTATGATGATCTAAGCGCATCCTGATGAGCTTCATAAGGAATAATCTCTAGTACAGAGCGATAGGTCTGCAGCCTAAAACAAAACAAGGACAGAGGGCATAATAATCCTATAAACACTTTCCCTGGAGTAGATCCGATGGGACTCGGCAGGCTCTGTTCTTGAGTAGACCT